CGTTTTCCTTGACGTTTATAAGACCCCAAGACGTTTTCTATGACGCTTAAAAGTCTCAGTAACTTTCTCAAGGACGTCTTCAACACAGCAGTAACGTCTTAACAGCCTCGTCACACAGCAACCTCCCCCCCCCTCTCTTCCGAGCCTCAGTCAGGACTATGAATAGACACTTGACACACACACACGCACACACACACACACACCCACACACACACACACACCCACACACACACACACACACACACACACACACACACACACCTCTATTATTGACACAACCAAACCCAAGTAATTGAAGTACAAACAGTGAAACGAAAGAGATACAAAACAATGCGACAAATAAGGAACTGAGATAAAGGGAATAAATATACGGTAGATTTATTATCCCAAACGACAACAGACACACACTCACACAACCAAGTCACACTATAATATAAAACACTTTACCGATATATTAAATAAACATCACAAAGCGTCACTATCAAACACCAACATCTGTGACACTTTGTAAACATCAACACCTGTGACACTTTGTAAACATCAACACCTGTGACACTTTGTAAACACCAACACCTGTGACACTTTGTAAACACCAACACCTGTGGCACTTTGTAAACACCAACATCTGTGACACTTTGTAAACATCAACACCTGTGACACTTTGTAAACATCAACACCTGTGACACTTTGTAAACACCAACACCTGTGACACTTTGTAAACACCAACATCTGTGACACTTTGTAAACACCAACATCTGTGACACTTTGTAAACCTCAACACCTGTGACACTTTGTAAACATCAACACCTGTGACACTTTGTAAACACCAACATCTGTGACACTTTGTAAACATCAACACCTGTGACACTTTGTAAACATCAACACCTGTGACACTTTGTAAACATCAACACCTGTGACACTTTGTAAACATCAACACCTGTGACACTTTGTAAACACCAACATCTGATGCGTAAATCAAGTGTAAACAAGACTATCACGGTTTGGTATATTCTCTTATGACGCAAAGTTCATATAAATATCTTTCGAGGAATAGTGTCTGAGCCTCTTTAGTCAGAAAGATTTTTTCCCTCAGGTTTACGACGCCTTTCTAATTCAGCTTTCTCATCTCCTCTCCTCTTCCTCCTTTTCTTCCTCTCCCTAATTCTCTCCTTCCTTCTCGTCTTACTATCTTACTCCCCTTTCTTTATCTTCGTCTTCCTCTCCTCACCCCGTCCTCCTTTCACTTTCCTCTCCTGTTCATATTCTTTGCATCGCTCGCTTTTCTTCATTCCTCCTCTTCCCACTTTTCTCTCTATTTCCTCCTCTTTCTTCTTCTACTCCCACATCTCTTTTCTCCCCACACTCCCTCACTCTCACCCCCAGGAGAGGGAGGCAAGGTAAGGCCAGGTGCAGGTGCCTTGGTCCCCTAAGGCTCACCTTAATTAACAAGACACTCACACCTGGTAAGCCCCCTCCCCCAAGGACCTACAGTAGGTAGGGTTCATTACCTGTCCGGGTCGCTACTCTACTTGAATCATTAAGTAACTCTACCTGACTCTTTTAAGTAACCCAATTACTCTTTTTAAGTAGCTGGGAATCTTTAAGTAAATGTACCTTATAATTTTTAGTAACTTACCTGATTTTTTAAGTAACTCTACTTGATTCTTTTAAGTAACTATGTGAATCAAGACTCCCTGTATTATAAGTCTCGCCCCCTAATAAGACTCTCTGTATTATAAGTCTCGCCCCCTAATAAGACTCCCCTATAAGTCTCAACCCCTAATAAGACTCCTGTATTATAAGTCTCGCCCATAATAAGACTCCTATAAGTCTAGCCATAATAAGACTTATAAGTCTCAACCCCTAATACATCCCTGTATTATAAGTCTCGCCCTAATAAGACTCCCTATAAGTCTCAACCCCTAATAAGACTCTCTGTATTATAAGTCTGCCCATAATAAGACTCCCTATAAGTCTCAACCCAATAAGACTCCCGTATGTCTGCCCCTAATAAGACTCTCTGTATTATAAGTCTCGCCCATAATAAGACTCCCTATAAGTCTAGCCCATAATAAGACTCCCTATAAGTCTCAACCCCTAATAAGACTCCCTATAAGTCTCAACCCCTAATAAGACTCCTGTATTATAAGTCTCGCCCCTAATAAGACTCCCTATAAGTCTCAACCCCTAATAAGACCCCTGTATTATAAGATCCTAGGCCCATAATAAGACTCCCTATAAGTCTCGCCCATAATAAGACTCCTATAAGTCTCAACCCCCAATAAGACTCCTGTATTATAAGTCTCGCCCATAATAAGACTCTATCTCGCCCATAAGACCTTAAGTCTCCCCATAATAAGACTCCTATAAGTCTCAACCCTAATAAGACTCCCTGTATTATAAGTCTCGCCCATAATAAGACTCCCTATAAGTCTCAACCCCTAATAAGACCCCTGTATTATAAGTCTCGCCCATAATAAGACTCCTATAAGTCTCGCCCATAATAAGACTCCTATAAGTCTCGCCCAATAAGACTCCTATAAGTCTCAACCCCCTAATAAGACTCTCTGTATTATAAGTCTCGCCCATAAAAAGACTCCTATAAGTCTCAACCTAATAAGACTCCCTGTATTATAAGTCTCGCCCCCTAATAAGACTCCCTATAAGTCTCAACCCCTAATAAGACTCCCTGTATTATAAGTCTCGCCCATAATAAGACTCCCTATAAGTCTCAACCCCTAATAAGACTCCCTGTATTATAAGTCTCGCCCATAATAAGACTCCTATAAGTCTCGCCCATAATAAGACTCCCTATAAGTCTCGCCCATAATAAGACTCCTATAAGTCTCAACCCCTAATAAGACTCTCTGTTTATAAGTCTAGCCCATAATAAGACTCCCTATAAGTCTCAACCCCCTAATAAGACTCCCTGTATTATAAGTCTCGCCCCCTTAAGACTCCCTATAAGTCTCGCCCCCTAATAAGACTCCTTGTATTAAAAATCTCGCCCTTAATAATACCATAGCCTTTAATTACCTCGTAAGTCTCTCATGATTATCCTGGTTTCCTCATTAATGATAATTAGCCTCACAAAAAACAAAAACAAGGGATTATCATAGTGAAGATCTCTCTCTCTCTCTCTCTCTCTCTAATACATACACGTCTTAGTAGAATAAAAAAAAATTACTCACAAAAATTATGGATTAAGTCACAAGTGAAAATAAGTGAAAAGTAAACTACAAAAATACTTATAGGGCTAAAAGTTAAAAGTTGTATTATAAAAGAAACTTTTATAAATATTCAGTACAGAAAGTTTGTGAAGTGTGAAGGGAAAACTCCGCCATGGTAAGTTAGGGCGTAAAGTGTTAAGTAGTGAGGTAAAGTGTTGTGTAGTGAGGTAAAGTGTTGTGTAGTGAGGCAAAGTGTTGTGTAGTGAGGCAAAGTGTTGTGTAGTGAGGTAAAGTGTTAAGTAGTGAGGTAAAGTGTTGTGTAGTGAGGCAAAGTGTTGTGTAGTGGTAAAGTGTTAAGTAGTGAGGCAAAGTGTTGTGTAGTGAGGTAAAGTGTTGTGTAGTGAGGTAAAGTGTTAAGTAGCGAGGTAAGTGTTGTGTAGTGAGGTAAAGTGTTGTGTAGTGAGGCAAAGTGTTGTGTAGTGAGGCAAAGTGTTGTGTAGTGAGGCAAAGTGTTGTGTAGTGAGGTAAAGTGTTAAGTAGTAGGTAAAGTGTTGTGTGAGTGAGGCAAAGTGTTGTGTAGTAGGAAATGTGTGAGTGGTAAAGTGTTGTGTAGTGAGGTAAAGTGTTGTGTAGTGAGGCAAAGTGTTGTGTAGTGAGGCAAAGTGTTGTGAGTGAGGCAAAGTGTTGTGTAGTGAGGCAAAGTGTTGTGTAGTGGTAGAGTGTTAAGTAGTGAGGTAAAGTGTTGTGTAGTGAGGCAAAGTGTTGTGTAGTGAGGTAAAGTGTTGTGTAGTGAGGCAAAGTGTTGTGAGTGAGGCAAAGTGTTGTGTAGTGAGGCAAAGTGTTGTGTAGTGAGGTAAAGTGTTAAGTAGTGAGGTAAAGTGTTAAGTAAGTGTTAGGAGTAAAGTGTTAAGTAGTGAGGTAAAGTGTTAAGTAGTGAGGTAAAGTGTTGTGTAGTGAGGTAAAGTGTTGTGTAGTGAGGTAAAGTGTTAAGTAGTGAGGTAAAGTGTTGTGTAGTGAGGTAAAGTGTTAAGTAGTGAGGTAAAGCGTTGTGTAGTGAGGCAAAGTGTTGCGTAGTGAGGCAAAGTGTTGTGTAGTGAGGTAAAGTGTTGTGTAGTGAGGTAAAGTGTTGCGTAGTGAGGTAAAGTGTTGTGTAGTGAGGTAAAGTGTTGTGTAGTGAGGTAAAGTGTTAAGTAGAAGTAAAAGAGTAATTAGGTTCTACAGTATATAACAACTTGTCGAACCTAACTTGAGAAACTGCTATTATCTCTCAGCGGCAGGTTAACGGCGGTCAATCTCTAGCTTTATTAATCGCTCACTTTCTCTTTAATATGCTATCCATCTCTTTCTCTTGATTATTCTCTCGGTTAATTTTTATTTTTTTTCATTCTGTTCTCTCTCTCTCTCTCTCTCTCTGTCTCACGAGTAACCATCAAAGATTTCTAAAAAAAGTGTTGTTACAAGAACACCCCCCCCCTGACCCGACGAAGACCGACTGTATATACCACAGGATAAAGACAGCCACAGAAACAATAATAATAATAACAACAACAATTCCAATAATACCAACAATAACAATAATAACTTTAATAACAATGACAATAATAATAATAATAATAATAATAATAATAATAACCCACATCATATAAAAGTGGGTGGGAAGGTCCGAGGGGTGGGGGTGTGGGGAGTATGGGTTGAGGGATAGAGCGATTCCGAAGGGGGGAGGAAGGGTTAAGGAGAGACCGAGGACCAAGAAGAGGAGGGGGGAGGATAGGAGAAAAGACCGAGGATAGACCAGACCCAAGACCACCACCTCTACTCTACTCTACTTACCACTCTCAAGTCCTGGCTGGATCACATAAGCGTCGTCCTGGACCCACGCCACCACCTTGACGTACTCCCTCACGTAAGGCGGGATGCGACAACTGTACGAGGAGGAAAAGAAATTAGATTAGTTTCCCCTCCAATCAAGGAGAGTTTTTACATTTTCTATCATTTATTTCTATCTATTTCCTTTCAAAACAATTAAACAAATATTTATGGAGTCTAAGTAAACATAGATAGACTTTCTTAGTAATTTATTAATAGAAAGTATATATTATTTCTTGTTACCTATTACTTAACGAACATACAACACACACGCACATTATGTTAAGGGGTCACCATTATGTGTGTGTGTGTGTGTGTGTGTGTGTGTGTGTGTGTGTGTGTGTGTGTGTGTGTGTGTGTGTGCGCGTGCGTGTTGGCTGGCTCACGTTACATCTTACATAACTCGGGGAAACCTTTTAGGATAAAGACCATATTTTTTCCTTCGTGAAACTGGGAGACTGAGAGTGAGCTGAGAGAGGCTGAGTAAGCTAAGGGAGGATGAGATTGAGCTAAGAGAGGTTGACAGTGAGCTAAGGGAGACTGAGCTTGAGCTAAGGGAGGCCGAGCTTGAGCTAAGGGAGGCTGAGAGTGAGCAAAGGGAGGCTGAGAGTGAGCTGATAGAAAAAAGGTTGAAAATGATGAGAAGGTTAATAGCTCATTGCCTATCTTCAACATAGGAACCTTTAATAATCCTATCTATAAGATCCTTTAAAGAATCCTAAAGTTACGGAACTCTAAAATCCTGTCCCTCCCCCACCACCACCACCTCGTTATCCAGCCTCAGGATTTATCAGGGAAAAAATGCCTCGTCAGTATTTCCCGTCGTAATGTCGCCACTGTTTCCCGCCACCAGGACAAAAAGCCCCCCAGTAAGCCGAAATACCTGTCCACCCCCCCAAAAAATAAAAATAAAAAAGGTAAATAAAAAAAAAAAAAAACACGGTCGGGATTAAACCTTAAACCTACCTCATACTCTAAACAGCACGAGGATGAGATATATCAATATAACCCTTTAATGATGAGAGAGAATTAGTGACCTCCACGTCATATATTCCAAGATGGAGTTAAAATGCTTTATCTCCATTTCCTACGTCTAAGATTTTTTTTTTCTCTCTCTCTCTTCTCCTACCATCACACCTGACACAACACACCATCACACCACAACACAGCACCACCTTCACCACAACAACACAGCACCAGAACTTAATGTCATAAATTAAGACATCGGGTCGTACAGGTGAGCTCCAGGAAATGTAGTGCTCAGGTGTGTCCCTTCAGGTACTGGACACGTGTCACGGGCGCTCCCATACCCAGATCTCGCCACCTGGACATGCCACGAATTCACCAGGGACATTTCCGCTGTGTGGAAATGATATTATTGTGTGTGTGGAGAGAGAGAGAGAGCTGATCTGTTACGAAAGTCGAATGGCCACCCCACCCCACCTCACCTCTTACCACACCTTTACCTCCCTCACCTCACCTCACCTCATCTCCCTGGAAGACTTTACACAACCTCTCCTCCATTCTTTATTTCCATCACCTCGATCTCAAGTACTGAGTTAGTGTGGGAGCCACTTAGGACGGTTCTGGGTGGCCCTGGGTGACCTTTAAGTGGCCCTCGGTGGTCCTAAGTGGCCCTGATGGTGAATAAAAGCCCGGGCCAGCATCACACAATGAGAAAAGTTGAGAAGAAGAAGGTGGAGCATGACGGTCCTCTAACACGCTCTGTTATGGTCTGTCTTCCTCTCCTGGAGACTTACCCGGGTGAGAGGAAGGAGGTGTGAGAGGGAGGAGGTGAGAGGGGGGTTGAAAGGGAGGTGGTGTGAAGGAGGAGGAGGAGGTGAAGGTTGAGAGAGAGAGAGAGAGAGATAGAGAGAGAGTACAACAAACCACCTCTCTCGTTTCAAGCGTGTTGGTCCCCCTTCCATCATCCACAATTCGGCTGGAGTTTCCCGTCCACTCTCAGAGACGTATCCAGATAGGAAAGTGGGAGGTGGGAGGGGGAGATGGGAGAGGACAAGCAGGAGGGGAAAAGAGAGGAGGCGGAGGGCGCAGGACAGGAGAGGACTTATAGACAGCTGGACAACATAACGCAATCCAGAGAACACACAGCCTGTCCAGGATCTGTGTGTGTGTGTGTGTGTAAGAGTGCCCACTATACTGAAAATAATAATAATAATAATAGTAGTACCATGATGTATGTTGGTCTGGGAGGCGGGGAGGTGCAGTGGGGTGGAGGAGGAGATGAAGAGGGGCAGCGGGTGGTCAGTAAAGAGGGTGGGGGGCAGTGGGAGTAAGGGTGGGGGGGCAGTGGGAGTAGGGTATGCTACGCTGTGTCAGTAAATGCAACACTTATACCCTGACAGGTCATTGATGTATGGGATATGTGCGGGGGGGGAGGGGTGGAGTGGAAGCCAGGAGTTAGGCGGTGAGGGAGTGAGGGGGGAGAAGTGAGGAGTGGGGAAGGGGGTAAGAGGAGGAGGGAGGAATTGTAGGAGGGATTGTAAGGATGGAGGTAGAGGATGTAGAAAGATTGGAGGATGCTAAGGAAGTGTAGGGAGGGATTAAATGGAGCATAGAGGGAGGAAGGAGGGAGAGAAGGAAGGCGAGGGAGAGAAGAAAGGAAGGAAGGAGAGGGGGAGAAGGAAGGAAGGAGAGGGAGAGAAGGGAGTATATAGGGAGGTGGCGTGGGGAGAAGCACCTTAACCATCCACCCTAAACTTCACGTAATTACACCGGTCAAACTCAGGTGAGGCAGCCCCTTCCCCCCTCCCCCCAAACACACACACACTAATATCGTCTCACACAATATAATACCTAACATTTTCCCTCTAACCTAACCTGACATGAACTGACCTGAGCTAACCTGACCTGACCTGACCTAGCCGTCCCTCTCCCTTACCTTTCTCCCTCTCTTATCTGCTACAGTATTCACCTTCATTCTTCTTCTCTTGCATGTTATTTTTTTTCCAGGTTACAGCTACACACAAAGACGACAACCTAACCTAACCTAATCAAGTTTATCCCAACTTTAAATCTAGCTTCCACTCTCACACACTTCACCTCTCACATACCTCACCTCTCACACACCTCACCTCTCACCTCTCACACACCTCACCTCTCTCACCTCTCACACTCCTCACCTCTCACACACCTCACCTCTCACACTCCTCACCACTCCCCACACCTCCCCACCCACTCCCCCTCCTCTCCACCTCCTCCCCTCTCCCACACCTCACCTCTCCCCACACTCCCTCACCTCTCCACCCTCCACCTCTCCCCACACCTCACCCACTCCCCCCCTCTCCCTCCTCTGCTCCCCCCTCCCTCACCTCTCCACACACCTCACCTCTCCCCCACCTCCCCACCCCTCTCCCCCTCACCTCTCCCACACCTCCCTCTCCCCACCTCCCACCTCTCCCACCTCTCCCCCACCTCCCACCTCCTCCCCCACACCTCCCCACTCCACCCCACCTCCACCTCTCTCCCACACTCCTCACCCTCCCCACACCTCACCTCTCACACCTCACCACTCACACACCTCCCCACCCACTCCCACACACCTCCACCTCTCACACTCCTCACCTCTCACACACCTCACCTCTCACACACCTCACCACTCCCCACCCCACCTCCCCTCTCCCCACACACCTCACCTCTCCCCCACCTCACCTCTCCACCTCTCTACCTCCTCACCTCTCACCCCCCTCACCCCTCTCCCCCTCCTCCCCACCCCTCTCACACCACCCCACCTCTCACACTCCTCACCACTCACACACCTCACCTCTCACACACCTCACCTCTCACACACCTCACCTCTCACACTCCTCACCTCTCACACCTTTCTCTCCTTTCTTCTGGTTCACACAATCTTTTCCTCCCCTTCCCTTTGTCCTGTAGTTTCACATGATTTTTTTCCCCTCACTATTTCTGTGTCTGAGAATTTCCTGAGCCTCATGTTGTCTTCCAGTGTGTTACATAATAGTCTCGTATAAAATTATGCAACTTAATTCTATTTCGTAATTTGTGTTAAGTGAAGAAGGTGTTAAAGTGGAATCATTTGAAGTGTGTGTAATTTGGATACGATTTTCAAGTTGTTCATTTTTTGAGTGTTTTAACTTAAGGGTAATCAATTAGCTGCATTCTTAAATTGTTTTTCACTTATGAGGAATATTGATCGTATGAGTTTTGGTGAATCTTAAGAGCTACTGGGTCTCTCTCTCTCTCTAAGATTATCACCCATCTCTATCTCTCTCCCCATGACTATGACCCATCTCTCCCCCCCCCCATGACCACCACCACCCATAACACCCCAGGCACTCACACTCTCACGCCGCCCTTCTCATCTTTACCTCATTCTCCTCCCTCCTACACACCTCCTCCTGGTTACCATATTCTTCCTCTCACATAATTAACCACTTTTTCTCGCTCTTATTTACTCGCGGGTAATATTCACCTGCCTAATGTAATTTACCTGGTCGTATTTTTTTTAATGGTGATTGTTACTTAATTTGAAGTCTTTTTTGTGTGTTTTTCAAGATGTTATTATAAAATTCTCATTCAATTATTTCTTTAACTTTTAAGTAGGTTTTTTTACAATATTTTTTGTTCTTGTGTTATATTGATAGTTCACCTGACCTAACCTGACCTGATCTTAACCTCTTTCCATCTATAGGGAAGATTGTAGCTGCTAAAGTTATATATATATTTCTCATCCATTAATCATCTAAACGAGCTATACCACCCACACACACACACACACACACACACACACACACACACACACACACACACCAATCTAGCTCTCCCTGTTGGGCCACACATTCACAACCTACCCACCACCTTCCCTCCTTCACATCATAGAGGATCTTTTATAAACTAGCGTCTTAATCCCCGCCGGCGCCTCCTTCACCCCCCTCACCAGACCAGATTCTTCCCCCACCTGTTGTGAGTGAGATGCTGGGACGAGATTATCAAAACTACGTAAAGTAACTTTTTTTTTATCCTTTTAACAAACAAAAAGTTACATCATATTAACACTAAGACACTAATTACATGCGTTTATTGAGCACACTAATTAACACAATGGGATTACTTTAACATCATCTATTGTTAATCTTGTACGTAAGGGGGGTGGTGAGACTACGTTCGTATTGTTAAATTGTTTCGGTAATTGGAGACGGAGGAATGCACTTGGTTACCGTCTAGGATCATCGGTGTAATTTTGGCGAGAGAGAGAGAGAGAGAGTGTGTGTGTGTTTACCTGAACAACATGAGATCAAATATGTACAGAACTAACACATACTACTACCACCACCACCCTACTACTACTACTGCTACTACTACTGCTACTACCACCACCACCCTACTACTACCACCACCACCATAGCAACACTACCACAACAATAGCAGGAGGTTCTATCACCACTACCAGTACAACCACACCACCACTGCTATCACCACCACACTACCACAGCATCACACAACAGCAGGAGGAGCACTACCACCACTAGCCACACCACCACCACCATCACTACCACAGCATCACTACAACAGCAATAGAAGCACTACAACCACCACCACCACCACCACCCACAGCATCACACCACAGCAGCAGGAGAAGCACTAGCACCACTACAACCACCACCACCACTACCACAGCAGCAGGGAGAAGCACTAGCACCACTACAACCCACACTACTACTACAGGAGAAGCACTAGCACCACTACAACCACACCACCATCACTACCACAGCATCACACCCACAGCAGCAGGAGAGAAGCACTAACACTAGCCACACCACCACCACTACCACAGCAGCAGGAGAAGCACTAGCACCACTACAACCACACCACCACCACTACCACAGCAGCAGGAGAAGCACTAGCACCACTACAACCACACCACCATCACTACCACAGCATCACACCACAGCAGCAGGAGAAGCACTACCACCACTATAATCACACCACCACTACAACCACCACAGCAGTAGGAGGAGGGCCACTCATTAGCAAGGTATTCACACTGGTGCCGATAACTGCCCAGTATCGACAAAACGTTGGGACACGTCCTCCGCCACTGATTTGTCCCGCCCGTTCCCGTTACCGTTCCCGCCGTTCTTCCTGGTCCTGTTTCAGTTCTTTCCGTTTTCGTGCCGTTTTTCCCGTTCCCGCCGTTTTGTACCGTTGATCCGGTCCTGTTGTACCGCTGATCTAGCCCAGTGCTATTGTTGTACCGTTGATCATTCTAGTACCGTAAAACTAACAGCATCTGTTTACTGTTGTTAGTGATGTATACCACAAAAGCCACCACGAGTATGTATATATGTATGTGAGCTTGTATATGAATGTATATATGTAGGTTACTCAAAGGTACACCTGCATTAATATAACTATGTATGAATGCACTGTATTTACCTCTATGTATATATGTATGTGTAGGTACTTACAATAAGCTGATGATAATAATAATAATAATAATAATAATAATAATAATAACTACAACATAAGCACCGCTGATTAAACTAATTTGTGGCGAGAAATGTTTCCTGTTTTGGCCATAAAGTATTTATATGTTAATTAAATGTGTTTTTTTTATAGTTAATAACACGACTTAACTCTTTCATTACCGAGCTCTCAATTATTACCACGATCACACCTACTGTTATTATTATCATTATTATTATTACCGCTAGTTTACGATACCTTGAGGGGGTGGGGGGGAGGTAATTTAGCGACTATCTCCTGCCTAAATAGTCTTATAATGTCAATAATACTACTGTATATATGACACAGTATGAAAATTAATAAATAGTACACACACACACACACACACACACACACACACACACACACACACACACACACACACACACACCAACTGCGTCTTTCACACTAAGCGACAAATTAAAATCAAGGTCAATGTAAATTAAACGAGATTACACGAGAGGTAGGAGTTAACTCGTTGCCAAAAAGTTATATTGTCTTCTTGTCTTTCTTTTTCCTTGAGTTGCTGTACTGTGTTGTATTGTGTTACGTAGTGTCGGTAGTGTTGTTTTGTGCTGTATAGTGTTGTATCGCGTTGTATTGTGTTGTAGTTTATTATGATGTATTTCTAAACACACAAAACGTACATCACACACACACACACACACACACACACACACACACACACACACACACACAGTAGCTTTGCGAGTAAAACTTAAGTATATTTTTCTAGTAACGAGACAAATTTATGAACACCTAATGAAATCCTAAACCAACACTGTCTCACCAACACCACCACCACACCAACACCACTACCTCACCAACACCACCACCACCACCTCTACCTCCAACACCACTACCTCACCAACACCACCCACCAACACCCACCACCTCCTCACCAACACTACCTCCCACCAACACACCACTACACCAACACCACCACTACCAACACCACCACTACCTCACCAACACCACCACTACCTCCAGCACCACTACCTCACCAACACCACCTCCTATACTACTTCACCCCCAACACCACTACCTCCCCATCACCCCCTCACCACCACACACCAACACTACCTCATCACCACTACACCAACACCACCACCACACCAACACTACCTCACCAACACCTCTACCACCAACAACACCAACAACACAACCACCACACCACCACCACTACACCAGCACCACTACCTCACAACGCCTCTACCACACCACCACCTTACCAACACCACCACTACACCAGTACCACCACTACACCACACCATCACTACACCAGTACCACCACTACACCACACCACCACTACACCAGTACCACCACTACACCACACCATCACAACACACTCAGTACCACCACTATACCACACCACCACTACACCAGTACCACCACCACACCAGCACCACACACACTACACCACCACTACACAGCACCCACACACCAGCACCACACCACCACCACACCAGCACCACACCAGCACCACACCAGCACCACTACACCAACACACACACCTACTAGTTACTACGAGACACCTTCTAATTGCTACACCAGAATATCAAAGCTTTATTTTTTGTTTGGGGTCATAAAAGGCAATTTCTTGAGTGAGATTAAGACGTGTGATTGTGAAAATATTCTTGACACACACAGAGACTTCGTTAACCAGGTGAGGACAGGTGTTAAGACTAATTAAGAAGGATCACGTGAAGATTAGACACTCTAGTTTAATATCACGTGAAGATTAAACACACCAGTTTATATCACGTGAAGATTAGGCACCCCAGTTTATATCACGTGAAGATTGCACGCCAGTTTATATCACGTGAAGATTAGACACGCCAGGTTATATCACGTGAAGATTAGGCACCCCAGGTTATATCACGTGAAGATTACACCCCAGGTTATGTCACGTGAAGACTAGACACCCAGGTTATATCACGTGAAGATTAGACACCCAGGTTATATCACGTGAAGATTAGGAGCACCCCAGGTTGGGTTTGCATAAAAGTGTTTAATCATCAGGTGAAATAAGCTGGAGTGTCCAATATTCAGGTGACTAATGAAGAGCACCTGATCTCACAATGAAATAAATCCTGAACCAATCATAATGACAGGTGAGGTGGCCAGTGAATACAACGTTCACTACCACCCATCAGGGTCAATGGTTCGTCGTCCGGGGGCCAAGTCCACCAGCTGTGAACGGGTACCTAAGTGGGGGAACCACGTGCAATGGCGGCCACACTACCTCGCTACAATCAACGGAAAATCATAGATATTAATTAATAAGACGACACAATTTATAAAGGTTATATTGTGGTGAGGGAGGGGGGAGGAGGAGAGGGAGGTGGAGGAGGCAGGAGGGTAGGAGGAGGAGGTGGGGAGGAGGTGGGGAGAGCGGATGGGGGGTAATGGTACTTTGACCATATATACTATGTATGTAGGTAAATTTTACTGCCGAATCGGACAGTTTACCGCTCGTGAGAGAGAGAGACCTGCACATCATACACCTGGCAGCGAGGAGACTCACCTGAGGACGGCTGTGTTGCCACTGATGACATACTCATCGTACACCTGCACCTCGTAATCTTGGCGAACCTACCAACAATACCAAGTAGTATCATGACATTACACACACACACACACGCACACACACGAGTTATCTATAACATCTCGTCCTAACAGTATATTGCTCGGCCTACTAATAACAGGGAACAGGTTATCATGACGAGTGGGAGCCAACAACAGTGTACACCTTCTTGGTACTGAGGAGCTACACACACACACACAAAACAAACACAACAACATAACACATACATATACACACACACACACACACACACAACACAAACACATATACACTACAAACACATACACAAATACACACACAAACAAAAACAATAAACACACACAACACAAACACATATACACTTACACAAATACATCACAAAAACACACAAAACACAAAAAACAATAAGAACACACACACACACACACACGCCCAGTCTAGTGTATGTTGCATTATTCATACGTACGTCTACAATATTTCACTGTAAGATAACAAATAAACAGACACAAAACAGAGTACATAATTATGAACATACGGATCAAGGAGGAGACAAACAAACAAGAACACAAGTAAACAATAATAAAAAGAATAAAACAAAGTTAGTCTCCGTCACATTAGAGTCAGTCAAGTCAGTCAGTCAGTCAAGTCAGTCAGCCCACAACTACACGCAGATATCACTTAACCTAACCTCACTCAAATGACTCATAAGATCAATTTTCCCTCGTAACTGGTTGGGCTTTTAACTACTGTACTAAAACCATCCAAAATGGCAGAATATATACGCCAAGACTCGACCCCCCCCCCAACCTCCTTCACCGCTCCTCAATTAGCAAAAGTTATTAGGGAAAAATTATATAACTGAATCTTTGTTAAATAATTCTGTAGTCTTAATTTTGTACAGTATATGGTGTTAAATGGATAGGTATCTAATTAAGCTTACAGGTAAGAGTACACAGGTAAGATAACACAGGTAAGATAACACAGGTAAGATAACACAGGTAAGAGTACACAGGTAAGACAACACAGGTAAGATAAACACAGGTAAGATACACAGATGAGTACACAGGTAAGATAACACAGGTAGAGTACACAGAGAAACACAGTAAGATCAGAGTCACAGGTAAAACAAATTAAGAGTGCAAGGTAAGATAACACGGTAGATCATACAGGTGAGCACAATAAGATAACACAGGTAAGAAACAAGAGTGACACAGGTAAATACACAGTTAAGATAACACAGTAAGAGTACACAGGTAAGACAACACAGAAGAGTACACAGTTGAGATGAAGATAACACAGTGAGCACACAGGTGAGTGCACAGGTAAATACACAGATAGGTACACAGAAATCAAGAAGATAAGGTGTACACAGGTAAGACAACACATAAGAGGCACAGTAGATCACAGGAGATAACACAGAGAGTCACAGGTAAGATAACAATAAGATAACAGTAACAACAGGTAGCACAACCACTAGTAAGGTACCAGGAGAGATAACACAGGTAGACAACACAGGTAAGAGTACACAGGTAAGAGTACACAGGTAAGATAACACAGGTAAGATAACACAGGTAGAGTACACAGGTAAGACAACACAGGTAAGATAACACAGGTAAGAGTACACAGATGAATAACCGGTAAGAGTACACAGGTAGTACACAGGTAAGATAACACAGGTAAGATAACACAGGTAGATAACACAGTAAGAGACGAAATAACACAGGTAAAGTACACAGGTAAGACAACACAGATAAATAACAAAAGATAACACAGGTGAAAACCAGGTGAGAGTACAAGGTAAGATAAACGTAAGACAACACAGGTAAGATAACACAGGTAGAGTACATATACACAGGCAAGACAACACAGGTAAAAACACAGGTAAGATAAACACAGTTGAGACAAGACTAGATAACACGAAGAGTACACAGGTAGATAACACAGGTAAGACAACACAGGTAAGAGTACACAGGTAAGATAACACAGGTAAGACAACACAGTAAGATAACACAGACAGGTACAGAGTGAGTACACAGGTAAGATAATAAACAACAAAGTAAGATAACACAGTTAAGATAACACAGAAGAGTACACAGGTAAGTCACAGGTAAGACAACACATAAGATAACACAAAGTAAGAAGAGCACACAGTAAGACACACAGATAGAGTACACAGATAAGATAACACAATAAGACAACACAGGTAAGACTTACAAGAGTACACAGAGACACAGGTAAGATAACACAGGTAAGACAACAGAAGATAACACGGTAGAGTACACAGGTAAGGTCACAGTAGAAACACAGTAAGACAACACAGTAAGATAACACAGAAGAGTACACAGGTAAGATAACAAGATACACAACACAGGTAAGACAACACGGTAAAACAACACAGGTAAGACAACAGGTAAGATAACACAGGTAAGAACACAGGTAAGATAACACAGGTAACACAACACAGGTAAGATAACACAGGTAAGAACACAGGTAAGATAACACAGGTGAACACAGGTAAGATAACACAGGTAACACAACGTAAGACAACATAGAGCACACAGGTAACGTAAGACAACACAGGTAAACAACACAGGTACGAGCACACAGGTAAATAACACAGGTAAGAACACAGGTAGATAACACAGGTAAGAACACAGGTAAGATACAGGTAACACAACACGTAAGATAACCAGGTAAGAACCATAAGATACAACACAGGTAAAACAACACAGATAACACATGGATAACAGGTAAGAACACAAGTGAACAGGTAAGATGGGTAACACAACACAGGTAAGATAACACAGGTAGAACACAGGTAAGATAACCAGGTAAGAACACAGAATACAGGTAACACAACAGGAAAACACAGGTAAGCACAATAGATAACACAGGTAAAACAACACAGTACGAACAGGTAAGACAACACAGGTGCAGTACACGTAGATAACACAGGTAAACAACACAATTAAAACAACACAGGTAAGACAACACAGGTAAGACAACACAGGTAAGAGTACACAGGTAAGATAACACAGGTAAGGCAACACAGGTAAGAGTACACAGGTAAGATAACACAGTAAGAAACACAGGTAAAAACAAACAGGGTAAGACAACACAGGTAAGAACAAGGTAAACAACACAGGTAAGACAAATACAGGTAAGAACACAGGTAAAAACAACACAGGTAAGACAACACAGGTAAGAACACAGGTAAAACAACACAGGTAAGACAACACAGGTAAGAACACAGTAAAAACAACACAGGTAAGACAACACAGGTAAGAACACAGGTAAAACAACACAGGTAAGACAACACAGGTAAGAACACAGGTAAAACAACACAGGTAAGACAAACACAGTAAGAACACAGGTAAAACAAACACAGGTAAGACAACACAGGTAAGAACACAGGTAAAACAACACAGGTAAGACAACACAGGTAAGAACACAGGTAAAACAACACAGGTAAGACAAACACAGGTAAGAACACAGGTAAAAACAAACACAGGTAAGACAACACAGGTAAGAACACAGGTAAAACAACACAGGTAAGACAAACACAGGTAAGAACACAGGTAAAACAACACAGGTAAGACAAATACAGGTAAGAAACAGGTAAAACAACACAGGTAAGACAACACAGGTAAGAACACAGGTAAAACAACACAGGTAAGATAACACAGGTAAGACACAATCATTAAGAAGTGCCTGGGTGAGGGAAATCTTTTGTTTTAATGGATGAAAGAATTAAAAGTGTACGAAAGATGAATTAATGAGTAAGAGAAGGAAAAATAATGACAATAAAGACAATTACGTTCTCTCACACACACACACACACACACACACACACACATACACACACACACACACACACATACACACACACACCTACCTGCCCTGACGGTGACAGTCCGGGAGACGATTTTGCCGACGGAGGAAGAGGCGAGGCACCTGTAGGTGGAGGCGTGAACGTCTTGCCGGTAGGAGCGAGGGCTGAAGGGCAGGAAGATGAGGGAGCCATTGGGTAGGATCTCCCTCACTCCTACTAGCGTACTGGCCGGCTGTAGACCTGCCTCCCCCACCACCCATGACACCTGTGCGGACACAAAATTTACCTGTGTTAAGTCTCTCACCTGGTAATTAACTTTCAGTATTTATCACCTGATGTAAATGTGTAAATCATAAGTTCAGAAAATGTGTAAATGTGTGTAAATGAGTTTAATAGACACGACACCTGTTTGTAAATAAATTCACCTGTGTTTTCTTATTAACTTTATGTATTTAGTTGTAAAAAAAAAGAAGTAAATTATACCTTTAAGAAATATGTATAATCGACTTCAGTACATATAATACACCTGTAATTTAAACGCATATCAAATAGCTACGAAATATACATAAATTAACCCACCATACATCATACACCCAGGGAAAAAAATACACACAGAAAATACAAAATACTGTACAACCACGACACCACAAACACGAGGTCATATGTATAACGTCTCTCAACATACCGACTTTAACTTTCACTAATAATACATAATCATACACTATACACCCATGAAAAACACGACACCTAACACCCCCCCCCCATACATTATACAACCACGCCTGTAACCTCGAATTTATCCTGGTAGTAGTGGTACAGTATTCTGGCTATTGTATTCTTTTATTCATACACTTAATACATTATATATTTATACATCCACCCAAAAATATATATGTATATATGTGTGTGTGTGTGTGTGTGTGTGTGTGTTTTGTCTTCTAAGTATTACTATTCTTTTTGCCACACACTGTACCTAACAAACCATCATTACTACGTACTATACTTTAGCCACACACTGTAACTCAAACACCACCATCACAACTATTATTTTTGTCACACCGTGTCACAGGTGAGAAGAGTACAGGTGAGAGGTAATTGGTGACATCACACACACACACACACCACCAAGTCACCTGTGTTAATTAGCGGGTGAGTTATTTACCTTACGGAGTCACGTTAGTAGGTGTGTATGTTACGACCACACACACACACACACACACACACACACACACACACACACACACACACACACACACACACACACATACATACATACACTCCGGATAAAATATTAACGCGATTCCGGTTAATGGGAAAGGGACATGATTTTTTTTTCTATTATCTATTATTCCCCCCTTTACAGAGAGGTGTATAAAGGATGTGGCTTTGCTTGTCTGTCTGTATGAATTATGGACAGGATATAGCGGTCGCGGTCGGAGTGAGCGCATGATTCACTGGTCGGTGGCCATTTACTTGTGGTGTGGTCGGATGGTCAGGGGTTTTAGGAGGGAGGGAGGAAGGAGGTGGTGGAGGGAGGGAGGGGGAGGAGGGAGGGGTAGAGGATTTATGGGTGGGAGGGAGTAGAAATGGGGAGGGAAGGGAGAGGTGTATAGGGAGGGAAGAAGATAGGTGTAGGGGACTAGAGGAGGGATGGGGGTAAGGGGGAGGAAGGTGGGGAGGGAGTGGGTGGGGATAGGGGGGAGGTGGGGAGGAGGGAAATAGTACGTTTGTTTGTTGGTCGTTTTACGTACGTACACGTGTATACTTAAATGTAGACTCGCACTTACACTTACATGGAAATATATGTAAACCACACACACACACACACACACACACACAGTATTTTGGTATCGATCGACCACAGATTATCTTGTAAATATAGAGCTGAGCCGCGACAATGTGAGTTACCTCTAATATTCTCTCTTACTAGCTTTAAGTTGAGAGAGAGAGAGAGAGAGAGAGAGAGAGAGATAAGACCTTCTCACCTGAAATCCCGACATAGGAACATCTTACCTATTTACTATTCTCCTATCAGTTTAGTCAGATGGGTGATATAGGTGTGATATGTCTGTTTATGTCTTTCTCTATGTCTGTGTGTGTGTGTCTGGTGTCTGTCTTCAATTAGCTGTTAGTATTTATTACAGCTGCGTATTATTACTACTACTACTACTACTTCTATACTTAATAAGAGCCATCAACAGTACACCTCCGCCCATCAATAAGTACGTGGGCGTAACGACGAGTGGAAAGGATCTGTCATGGGCGCGGTGTGGGGTTACGTACCGTGGGCATGGGGTTGCCGTGGGCGGAGCAGTGAAGGGCAGCACCGGTGGTGTTGAGGAAGGAGAGGGAGCGGGGAGGCTCCACCAGGAATTGAGGTCCTTCCTGCACCCCTGAGCGGCTCTCCCCTGCAAGGAAAACAACAACAATTAATAAACAAACAAAAACACAAATAAAACAATCACACACACACACACACACACACACACAAACACACATACTGTCTCTGGCAAGTTTAGGAACCCCCACCCGACACACACACTAATAATAATAATAATAATAATAATAATAATAATAATAATAATAACAACAATAATAATATAATAATAATAATAATAATAATAATAATAATAATAATAATAATAATAACAGTAATAGTAATAATAATAACAACAACAATAATAATAATAATAACTAATAATAATAAAACATACCAAATACAAAAAAATAATCATATAAACACACTAACATCTCACTAAAATAAACATCTATTCAAATCTTCAAATAAAACACAAGAAAAAGACGAAAAATACAATTGTTCTATTATTTCCCTGACGTCACCATATTTTCCCTGACGTCACCATATTTTCCCTGACGTCACCATATTTTCCCTGACGTCACCACACTTTCCCTGACGTCACCATATTTTTCCGAACTAAAATAAATCGCATAAATACTATGGGTTTATATCTTCATGGAGATAGTCGATTTTTTCTCTTTTTTTCTTTCAAGGTATATGAGAGAGAGAGAGAGAGAGAGAGAGAGAGAGAGAGAGAGAGAGAGAGAGATGAAAATAGGCAGACATACAAAATTAAACAGAGGTAGACAGGTAAACAAACAGACGTAGACAGTGACAGACAGATGAAAATAGGTAGACAGAAATACAAACTTAGACATAGACAAACAGACGAAGACAGACAGACAGACAGAGAGTGAGGCTGAGAGCGTCCCAACACGAATCAGTAACCAAGGTGACGAGACCAACTCAGCCCACAACACAACACACCTACACCACAGCTACCACACCTACACCACAGATACCACACCTACACCACAACTACCACACCTACACCAGATACCACACCTATACCACAGATACCACACCTACACCACGCTACCACACCACCGCACAGATACCACACCTACACCACAGATACCACACCTACACCACAGATACCACACCTACACCACAGATACCACACACCTACACCACAGCTACCACATCTACACCACATCTACCACACCTACACCACAGATACCACACTACACCACAGATGCCACACCTACACCACACCTACCACACCACCACAGATGCACACCTACACCACAGCTACCACATCTACACCACAGATACCACCTACACCACATCCTACCACACCTACACCACAACTACCACCTACGCCACATCACCACCTGCACCACAACCACCACACCTACACCACAACTACCACACCTACACCACAGCTACCACACCTACACCACAGATACCACACCTACACCACAGATACCACACCTACACCACATCTACCACACCTACACACAGCTACCACACCACCACACACAGATACCACACCTACACCACAGATACCACACCTACACCACAGCTACCACACCTACACCACATCTACCACACCTACACCACAACCACCACACCTACACCACAACCACCACACCTACACCACAACCACCACACCTACACCACCACACCACCTACAAAAGACTAAAAAGGGTTTAAACCATCGCCTTCAGAGTTAAACCGTCGTCCTCAAATGATTAAACCACGAAAGAGAACAATTAAATATAAACAGAGAGAGAGACCCATAGTATTTAATACCAACATTACTCGACCCGTAAATACCCAACTTGTGTGTGTGTAAAACCCTCTCATCTATGTCTCTACATCTCATCATCTTGTATCCACTGTCTTCTCTTTATTCTTGTTCTTCTCTTCTCTCTCTTTTTCATCCTACTCATTATGCTTTACTTTCTCCCTTCCATCTTATTAATTCTTCTTCTTCTTCATCCTTTCAATATCTTTTTATTTATTCTTATTCCTTCGTCTTTTGCCTATTTTCTTTTTCATTTCTTTCTCCTTCACTTTCTTTCTTATTATTCTTATTTTTCTTTCTTCAATTTTTTCTTTCATTTTCTCCATCTTCTTAATTTTCTCTCAGTTTTTCTTGTTCCCCTTTTATTTTTATTTTCTTCTTCTCGTCTTGTCACCGGTACATTGATAATCCCCAGACATGGTAAACACAACCTCGGGTAAGTGGTGGTGAGGAGTGGTGGTGGAGGTGGTGAGGAGTGGTGGAGGTGAGGAGTGGTGGTGAAGGTGGTGAGGAGTGGTGGTGGTGGTGATGATAGTGGTGGTAGTAATGGTGGAGGTGGTGGTAAGTAATGGTGGAGGTGATAGTGGTGGGTGGTGGTGAGTAGTGGTGGTGATGGTGGTGATAGTGGTGGTGGTGGTATCGTGTAGTGGCCGCAGTGAACATGACAGTCTCTCTCTCAACCCTGGGGAGACCTTGTGGGAGGGAATGAGGAAGGAATGAGGGAGGAAAGGAATGTGAGGGAGGGAGTGTGAGGGAGGTAGAGAGTGCGAGGGTGTGAGTTAAGGAGGGCGCGCGCACACGCGCGCACACACACACACACACACAAGTGGAAAAGAAACTCACTCAAACGCAATTCCTCTTAACTCTTAAAATACCTTAACTTCAGTTGCACCAAAAAGTCGTATAGTAGAATTCCATTGAAATTTAAAGAAAATAATTTACAACACTTATGATATCAGTTACAAGAGAGAGAGAGAGAGAGAGAGAGAGATAACAGAACCCGGACAGAATACATGATGACACACTGGGTTCATATTAAAACCGGGTCAGGAAGAAGAGATCACAAGACTGATCCACTACGAAACAGAACGAGATAATTCAACCAAAAATAACCCGGACAGGAAGACAAGATAACACAAAGGGAATTTAGCAAGATAACCAGGTAATGATTTGATGACCACCTTCCGTGTGTGACCGACAAACACACAAACACACACACACACACACACCTGGTGACCTTTCCTGACCTGGTATAACTCACTGTGTCTTTTCCTTAACAAAAATCTTAACCTTGTAACCACTTAAATCAAATGATAAATAAATAAAAACAAAAGAAATAATAAATCATAATAAAAAATAAATAAAACTTACAATAACAATAATCGTGATAATCATAAAAAATATATCAATAGCAAAAAATAAGATGAAGGATCCTTAATTACAATACTAAATATAATAATAATTAATAACAATACTACGAAGATATAGCAGTATGTATTGTAAAGGCCCCCTCAATCACCTCTCACTCCCCCTCTCACCTTCCCTCTCTCTCTCCCTCCTTCAGCCTCCACACACCTACCAGTAAGTGCCAATGTCTCAAATACCAACACTGGCACGCACACATATCCTCCTACCCCCACCTTCAAGCATGTTCCCGACACACACACAAAACACCCAGTAGGTCCTCCCCCACACCTCACCCACCCCACACACACACACCCAGCAGCCCGCCCACCCCCCACACCCACAGACAAAATCCCTGGAATTTCATTGGGTTGGATCTGTAAGTCTGGATGAAGCAGGAGACTCCACCACTTTGATCTCTCGTCTCTGGATTCCCAAACATGCCTAAGTTGTTTTTTTCCCTTCACACACACACACACACACACACACACACACACACACACACACACACAAACACGTAAATTTTTTCCCTTTGTAGTGCAATGGCGAGAAGGCACCTCATTGGTTCATTTTATCTACGTCACAAACACCTGGTGGCCAATATGGTGTTGAAAATGCACTGAGACTCTACCACAACTGGATGCCTCGACTTACCACCACACCACCGTCACCATCCTACACACCCCGTCTTCTACACCACACCACCGTACACCCGTCACCGTCTCCTACACCACACCACCGTCTCCTACACCCGTCACCGTCTCCTACACCACACCACCGTCACCGTCTCCTACACTCATCACCGTTACCGTCTCCTACACCACACCACCGTCTCCTACACCCGTCACCGTCTCCTACACCGTCTTACTCACCCGGAAACAACTCGGAAAGTCATTCTCAAAATTGCATCAGCTGACCTCGATACACTATGTTCGTCACGAGGGGTTTAACTTTCTGAGGGCGAGTTTTAACTTTCTGAGGACAAGGGTTTACTGTAACTTTCTAAGGACAAGGGTTTAAATTTCTGGGGACGAGGGTTTAAACTTTCTGAGGACGAGGGTTTAACTTTCTGAGGACAAGGGTTTAACTTTCTGGGGACGAGGGTTTAACTTTCTGAGGACGAGGGTTTAACTTTCTAAGGACGAGGGTTTAACTTTCTAAGGACGAGGGTTTAACTTCCTGAGGACGAGGGTTTAAACTTTCTGAGGACGATGGTTTAAAAATTATTGTCAAATCAAACTATGAACACAATAACTTAAACATGTCCCTCACTTCTCTCCTTCTCTCACCCTCACTTCTCTCACCCTCACTTCTCTCCGTCTCTACTTCCCTCCCGTTAAACCGCTTCATCCAGTTTTAATCTTCAGGATGGTAATAAACATCAATCATCAGTGTTTACGTGTTTTTTACTATTAATGTTTACTATAAAAGAGAGAGAGAGAGAGAGAGAGAGAGAGAGAGAAAGAAAGATCACCACCAACAATAAAAATGGTTAAGTGTGAAATTGTAGAGATAAAACACCTTAATATGAACATGCAAAAAATCGGGTCGTATTTCCCATAGGTCCGACCCGACACAACCACTGAACACATTCTGCCATCCCGCCGAAATTTTATATCACATGACTCGTGATTATTTCTGGCGGGATATTTGGCGAATTGGCGCGAAAACAAAAATGATAATCCTCCTGCCCAGTTATCTACTTCGGCGCGAAAAAGAATCATCGAGAAATGGCGCGAAAAACTATCCTTCAGAGCCCAGTAATCTAGAAATGGCGCGAAAAAACTATCCTTCAGAGTCCAGTAATCTAGAAATGGCGCGAACATATCCTCTTGAAATTAGTTATCTAGAATTGGCGCGAAAAAAAATAATCTAGAACTGGCGCGAAAACAAAA